CTTCCACCGAAATGTCGTTGCTTGTATTTTGTTTCCAGACAACCTTAACAAAAATTCCCCCAATCGGAATTCAATGCACGATTGCCAAACCATATTTCAGAACATTCCCACGTGATCTTCCTTTAACTCATGAACATAGAACCACGGCCAACGTGTTATTATAACGTATTACATTTTATTACTTCATAGTGGAGGGAGAGGTTATGGCTATTTTAAAAAGCTGTCAAATGACTTGTGTTCTGGCTAGCGACGTTTGGTAAACTTCATTAAGCCATTAACTTCGGTCAGAATAATAAATTTAATCAGACACTTTCTTTGGACAGATAAGCGTTTATTGTTTGAGACATGCGCATATGACAATATTTCCCTCTTTTAGCAATATATTTTCAGAAACAATTTTGTCCCACAAAAAATAGTTCTGGAGAGTTTTCGCTAGACATAAAACAGAAAAACAAAAAACAAAATCAAATTAATTTCTGTTTGATTTCTGGCTCGTGAACAGTCGAGTATGAGGAAAGCTGTTTTCTGGGGTGTTTTTGGAGCTGCTTACTCACTCCGTCAACGGATGGCAGGAGTGAGCTTGGTCAAACACGCCATTTCTAAATAAACTTCAATCAAAAATGGGAACATGTGATGGATAGGCGACGTTAAACCTAAAACTGGCCTAACTCTTTGATGAAAGCCGATGATTATGGCAATGCTGATGTGCTGAAGGCCAGAATCTTCCTGCCCAAGAGATTAACACTGATTAAAGAAACTTACTGTAAGAGCTTCTTATTAACGCAGTTACAGCTTACGTCTGATTAGCATTACTTAGTCGATTGCCCTCTGATTTAACAATTCAGCTTGACCGCAACATCGCCCTCCCTGCTTTCACTCTACCCCCTACCTCTCAGCCATTTTTTGCGCGTTGTATTCAAGGCGCTGAGTAATCAGTAAGAACCTCTGAAACGTCGGTGAGTTTCTACGAACAATCAAAAAAAGAAACAAACCATTGATTTTCGTTGTCATTGTAACATTTGGCACTGAAGTTGGTTTCTCCCTTGCAACGTCCACCGATGAGCAACATCATGTCGTCGATGACTTCTGCGATTAAGTAATTTGAATTGACGGTCATGTAAGGGATCTCGGTCCACGCGTCTTCTGCGGGGTCATACCTTTCGGTACCGAGCTTGAATGATGCCCTGTTGTTTCCTCCTGCACAAACACACATTCGTAATTGGTCACAGCATATATAAAAGCTTCCAAACGAAACTTATTCTAACCCCATTCAGCTGGGTCCTTCTTGATATTTATTACTCTGTCACCTGGTCACGATTTATTACCTTATTCATTAAAGTCGGTAGTTGAACAATTCCAACACACTCTAGATCCTTAAAAACATTTTAATATTATCCTTCCTCTTAAGACTATGTATCACCAGTGCTATCTTACCATCAACATCACCAATTATAACTTTCTAGATGTTTGTATTAATCGTAACTTCAATGCTTCACACTCCGCGCGTCTTACCCAACGGATTTTACGCTCTTAAAATTTGTAATTCCGTAAACGGAACGAATGAATGAAATAAAACGAAGAAAATTAATTCCCTCGTGAAATATTAATATTAGTACCAGGAACGAAGTTAAGCATGAAGTAGCTACAATATTATTTTCGTACTTGAAACCTCAGGAATTTGCGTCTGACATCTGTTTTCTGCTTC